TGGGCCAAATTACAAGGTAAAATAAAACGTAATCCAGCCCAAAAGATGAGGATGGGCCTTATATACAAATCAACATCCATAAATAAATAAATAGAAAATAAAATATGAATTTCTTCCTACAAAAGTGAAGAAACGTGCAACACAGGAGTTCCCTATTCTCTGCAAGACGTGGAAAGTTACAAAGTTAACGGGAGAGGTTAACAGAAAATGGCGAAAGATATGGCCTCTATCTTCCCCACGTAAAAGCTCCAGAGACTTCCTATGATGCCTATAAATAGGCATCAGTCACAGTAAGAAGGGACAAAAAAAAAACATAGGAGGAGGTACGCTGCAGAAATTGAGATAGAAATTGAGAGAAGAAAGAAGCAATGAAGTACTGTCGGAAGAGAAGACGAAGTAATTCCATTACCGGCGATTCCGAACCAGGCCTTTCAAGAAAGGAAAGCAAACTGCAAGCAACAATCAGAAGGTACAAAACTATGTTTCTTTTCTCTTCATTTTCTCCCCAGTAAAATTATTTTGCAGGCAAACGTTCTTTAAAAACTCTGGGCAGCAACAAGAACTTAAATGCTAGCAACCACAGACGTTAGACAAAAACCCAAACGGAAGTAGCAGTCGTGCCACGTCTCCAACCGTCGTCTCCGGTGGTTTCCCAGATGAAGTCCGTACATTATGCGGCTTAAAGGAGATGGGTTTGGTAATGCTGTGTCGCATAAAGCCAGAAGAAACCATGCAGCTTGAAGGAGATGGGTTTAGTAATGCTGTGTCGCATAAAACTAGAAGAAACCCAAGGAAGTCGCGTCAATGGAGGAAGAGAACAACAACCGCAGTGGCTGCTACATGTCCGTCAAAGAGTGTGGAGTTGAAATAGTTGCTGAACAAAGCACGCAGCAGAGCACGGAGCAAAAGAACAAAAGGACGAAGCCAAAGACGCGGCTGCATAAAGAAAGAAGGCATAAAAGCTCGTACCGCTATAGGCACAAAAGATGATGCCGTTCTAGGCACAAAAGCTCTCGTCGAAGAAAGAGATGATGCCGTTCTAGGCACAAAAGTTGCGGCATCGCCTGGATAAAGAAGATTCGAAGTGGAAGACTCAAGTTCTTTCTCCCCGCCGCTGCCGGCAATCCCATGAATTTCTTCGGGGTGGTATAAACCACCCCGTGAAGTTCCAATCAAGTCTAAGTGATCACTACACTGCAGCAATCAAACCGCAACACCACCGCTCTTCAACCTTCGCCTCCGTCAGTACTCCGAAAGAAGCCCAAGGACAGTGCAATCTATGATCCGAAGGTGATGAACTAGGTGATGCAATTGGGCACGCGGGTCCAGACCATCAACAAATTTGACGGAGGCTCGAACAAGAAGATGGCAGCGATGGTCAGTGTGAAGAAGTGAAAGAAGGCCAAAAAAAATAATAATAAAAAAATAAAAAATGCAACACCAATCGCTGCGAGCCATTCCGATCCCACCGACAGTGGCGAGAATAACCCAAAGCCTTCAGAAAATGTGGAAGACATCCGCAGGCAAGAAAGCCGAGAATTTGAGAAAAGAGAAAAGTCCCCAGGTCCAAGGATGCAGCGGAAGTGGCTCTAAAGTTGCACTTTAAAACAGATTGCAGAAGCTCAAAAGCTCTCCGTGAAGTTTCTGCAGCCATACCGACGACCGTGCAGTATTATTCGAGACTAGGAAAGTTCAAGTCTTCAAAGAAGGGAAGGAAAAAAAAGCTTGCTGACAAAGTTGGAGATAAGCTCGGGACAAATGGGTTTTAAGTCCCATGTTAAGTAGGATTGAAAGTTCAAAAGAAGAACATAAAAAAAAAATAGGGCTGCTTTGAACAGAACCCTTGTGGGATAAATCCGGTGAAGTAATCAGAGGAAATATTTTTTTATTCCAAGCACGATCCTCTACAAATTTGTCAGAAGAAAGAAGCTGCAAAGGAAAGCAAAAAAACGAGTTTAAAACTCTCAAGGAAGAAAAGTGCTCCAGAAAAATCAAAGAAGTCTTCTGCTTGAGATAAGTGAAGAAGAAAGTAAGATGGGCAATTCCAATTCCAAGTATGTTTCTCTGCACAAAGAAGGAAAGTTTATACGATGAGTTTAAAAACTCAAGGAAGAAAAAGTGTTCCACATGCTTTTATGAAGCTAAATGTGGCTTGCTTTTCCTGACGTCACGTGAAGTGCATGGACTTAGAAATCCAAGTCTACAAGGAGAAGAAACGGGAAGCCTGCGATATTCCTAAATTAGTTGGGAATGGATGCTTACGTGGAAACCAAAAGGAAGAAAATAAGTCATTTCAAAGACTTCGCTTCAAAAAAAGGAATACGTGGTTGTATTTAATTAGACTTCTCAAAAGTCTGTTGGATTTCAAACATAAAATAAAAAGGAATAAAAGAAGTGAAAGTAAGGGCTGGTTTGGTATTGCTGTGCTTTGAAAAAAAATTGATTCTACTCTGCTGTGAGAATAAGCGGCTGTGAAATAAAGCAGTAGAGTGTTTGGTAAACTTTTTTGTAAAAGTGCTTTTGAAAAAAAAAAAAAAACAGTATTATAATGTTTGGTAAACTTTTATGTAAAACAGATGTGAAAAAAAACCGATTTTTCAAAGATAGGTTTTGCAGCTTCTTGTTTTTGGTTTTTTTTCACCCAAAACTGTGAAAAAAAACTGAAGCTGAATGTTTACCAAACACAAAAACAGCTCCCAGCTTTTTTTATACCAATTTTTTTCAGAATCACCTCAGTACCAAATCAGGTCTAAATAACACGTGATGGAGAGCAAACAAAGTTGGTAAACCAAGGCATGCGATTCCGTAGAAGAGAGGCAAAATATTATCAAAAAAATGGTGAAAGGATGGCAAGTCCTGATCATGCATCACCATAAGGAAAGCCACTGAAGTGGCATTGGAAGTTTAAAGTTGAAAAGTCCCAATAAAAAGGGGCCTTGTTCTCTTTCTATGATTCAAAGCCTTTTCTTATTTTCTTAAGAAAACTAATAAAAAAAAGTTGAAAAATTTTGAATTTTAACGATAAAGATAAAATAAAAGATAAAATAAATAGTATGAGATTTAATTTTTTAATATAAAAATATAATTTTTTATTAAAATAAATAGTACCGTAATTTTTTCGTTAAAATTCTCGATTTTCTTTACCTCTGCAGGGCACCGAAAGCAAATTGGTTCTGCTAGGCACGTGAATTTATATTGGAGCAAGTCGGCAACAAAAAGAGGCATTCAATGCCAACTGCCAGAGCCTTAGTCAATCACGTGGCCTTCAAACTTTAGTCATGATTATTACTAGTCATCCTTTTCACTTGCTGCCATACAATTCCCTCAAATTAAGTGGGAATACTATCCAAGTGGAACTCTGGGATGAAAAAAAGAGTAACTCTTCCATAGTACTCATGTGGACATTATGAATATGGCATCCATCAAAGTTAAATTTATTCAAGAAGTATGAGATGCACGGTATCAAGACAAAGTCAAATACCAAAGTAACAGTGGGTTCATCACAAATATTCCCATTAAATTTACAAGACACAAATGGCATGAAGCCGCAACAAGACTCAAATGGCATGAAACCGCAACAAGACCCAAATGGCACAAAGCCGAAGAAAAAGTCAAATATCAAATGGCATGAAGTTGCGAAAAAATCTCAAATGGCACGAAGCCGTACCAAGTATCAAAGGGCACGAAGTCGTAGCAAGACTTGAAAGGCATGAAGCTGCATACTGCTCCAATGGCCCAAAGTCCTCACCCACATGAGCTAAAACTGCATAAGGCACCAAATGCTCCAGTGGCACAAAGTCCTTGCCTGCATGAGCTAAAACTACACAAGACATCAAATCCAAACAAGTACCAAATACCAAGGAACTACAAGTGAATTGATCCCTCAACGAGGGTACGTAGGCAATCTAAGACTCTACCTAGATGCAGTCACAAAATCAAATAAACACTCAAATCCCCAAGTTACGATTTATTCATATGAGAATCAAAGGGTATTCCTTCCCCAAAAGAAGGGTTGTAATTAATAGGCACATAGCCTATAGTGGGTTGAACTCAAATTAATAAAACCCTCTTTAGGAAAAATGAACGAGGGTGAAATTGTGTCGAGTGAATTATTTGTTTACATATTATGTACAATTTTTGCTCAACACTAGTCAAATCATCCCTAATCCTAGAGGATCTAAATAATGCAACACAGTCAGGTTATTGCGCAGTGGAAAGAATCATAATAACCGTGAACAGGAAAAACATGAAGAAACAGCTGCAGATAACTCACGACCAGCATCTAAACAGGCCTAGCAGAACCTATTGTTGCAAGGAGTGGGCACGGGCCGGGCCCAAATTTCGAAGGACTGAACCGAGACCGTTTTAAAATGCAAGTAGACAGGTCGGGGCGGGTATAAGATTTATGAGATTTGACTTTTATAATTTGTCATTTCCCCCTTCAGCTTTAATTTTAGCTGATTACCCTCCTAAACTTTTATAAATAGCCAATTTCCCTCTTGACGCTAGATTTTAAAATTTTTCATCCAATTTTTTATCCATTTTGATCATCGAACAACACATGACAAATATATAGAGGCAAAAAGAATGAAAATTGGATGAAAAATTTAAAATCTAACACTAGGGGTTAAATAGGCTATGTATAAAATTTTAGTGGGGTAATTGGGTGAAGTTAAAGTTTATGTGGCTAATTATAAAAGTTAAGAGGGTTAATCGGCTAATATTAAAGTTTTGGAAGAAATTGGCACCTCTATACAAGTTCAAGGGAGCAAATCAACAAATACCTCTTTTACTAAATATTGGTTACAAAAACATTTTTACAAAAACGCTTTCAATCATTTTAAAAACAGTTCCAAACAAGGCCTCAATGTAACCAAACAAGAGTGACACTATTAATAGCCTTAATCAACAATTAACAATTACTAATTATCCATTGCCAATACCAGAGAAACAGGAATACCATTAAGCTATTTTCACGCGCCAATCTGTGATTGTTTTGCCTTAACCGCCCGTCGTTTCTTTCTTGAGGTAACCCGAATGATCAGGAATTAAGCTATATTCAAGTCCACCAAATCAGACAACGCTGTTTGTACCAAGTATGAAGAACCAAGCAAGCAAGCTCGCTCGTTCGAACCGATTCCATTGAAAGCAAAAGTCCTTCATATAAATAGCCGGCCAGAAAAGCTCTTATTCTAAACGCTAACAACCAAAAAAAGCTGCTTTTTCTAGAGAGAGAAACGAGAACACAAGAAAGACGGTGAAGAACTAGAAAGCGAAGGGTGAGCATTAATGGCGGCAGAGAAGCAAGTGATGGTGATCGGGGCGGACAAGAGCGAGCAGAGCCAGTACGCTCTGGAATGGACTTTGGACCACTTCTTCAAGCCCTTCGGCGGCGACAAAGCTCCCTTCAAGCTCATCATCGTCCACGCCAAGGTCCAGGTTTCCACCGCCGTCGGCTTGGCAGGCCCGGGTAAGAATCTAACTGCGACATGAAGTGATTTTCACGCACCTCTACAATGCAGAGTAGAGGAATAAACTGCTGCCGCGGAAAATAACAAATGTGCAGAAATCGCTTTGTTTTCATTGTTTAGTTAATTATGATTAGCTAATTTGCAAGTGTGCTAAAACTGCAGGAGCGGCGGAGATTCTGCCGATCGTGGAAGCTGATTTGAAGAAGAGTGCTGCCCACGTAACTGAGAAGGCCGAGGAATTTTGCGCCTCTAAATCGGTATTTAGATGGTTTCCATTCTATATGATGGTTTCAACACAAGATTCGTAATTCTTATGCTATCATAGAACACCGCGGAACCAAATGATTGCACACCGATGTGATACGAAGAAATTGCCCTTCGCTAGCAGCTTTTCTGAGCACTATATATTCTAATGCTTGCAGGTGACCGATGTGGTTGTGGAGGTTGTGGAAGGAGATGCTAGGAACGTTCTGTGTGATGCTGTTGAAAGACACCACGCATCCATCTTGATTGTGGGAAGTCATGGCTATGGAGCTATCAAAAGGTATTCCCTCGAACTTAATCTATTCTTTTCGAGTTGAACGAACAACCATCACTAATTCGCGCGACTAAGTTTGAGCCGAGCTTGAGGTTTTTCATGGAAAATGATGTTACTTATCCGCGGAAATCTTAATGTTGTGTTTGATTCTGGTGCAGGGCGGTTCTGGGAAGCGTCAGCGACTACTGCGCTCATCATGCTCACAGCACAGTGATGATCGTGAAGAAGCCTAAAACCAAGCACTAAAGCCTCCTCTGGGTTTTCAGTTAAGCACGACAGAAAGTCCGTCGTGCTTGAAAAATTACAATACACACATAATAAATTCGTCCTTTTGAGAATTGAATATTGAAAGGTTATACGTATATATATACTTTGTGCTTGGAGTTTGATCGTTCAAACTTCAGAAGTCTGGCATGTATTTATAGATCGGAAGTTGAAGCTTTCAAACTTTTGTATGACAGTCGATCCGTGTATCAAAAGTTTGATTGGTAAAGTTTTGATATAAGTTCTATTTTCATTGCTGTTTCTTAATCTCTGCGCTACCTACATAAGAATCGAGGTGTTTAAGTTTCAGAGAGATGGGTCATGGTCCACCACTAATAGCATCGGTATTATGCCTATTTAATCATCCGTGCAATCAAAAGGTGTGAGATTTTTATGCAAAGGGTTCGATGCAATTACAAGTGGAACTATTTGATATAATTAAGTTATGATTTGTTTTGTAAGATGGTCGATGTGAGACTTTTTGCTTTATTCTACACAAGGAACATAAAAACACAAAGGGGTATGCTATCCACACACCATTTTTTACTTCTCACACCCAAAGTTCTAAAAGACTCTAGATGCTAGTTGGGCGGCGGGCTGGGGCCTAACGCCTAAGCGGCTAGACCGGTCTAGGCGGGCGTCTAGGCGGACTAAGCGGATTTAATTAAATCTATTATATTTCGTGTAAATAAGTGTACGTTTATGCTTAAAATGTCACATCCCGGCCCGGGGCGGATCACTTCCCAGGCCCGCTCCACCACCGTAGCACGATATTGTCCGCTTTGGGCCCCGACCACGCCCTCACGATTTTGTTTCTAGGAACTCACACGAGAACTTCCCGATGGGTCACCCATCCTGGGAGTGCTCTCGCGCGCTACTTGCTTAACTTCGGAGTTCCCATGGAACCCGAAGCCAGTGAGCTCCCAAAAGGCCTCGTGCTAGGTAGGGATGGGAATACATATAAGGATCACTCCCCTGGGTGATGTGGGATGTCACAATCCACCCCCCTTAGGGGCCCGACGTCCTCGTCGGCACACACGCGGCCAGGGTTAGGCTCTGATACCAAATTGTCACATCCCGGCCCGGGGCGGATCACTTCCCGGGCCCGCTCCACCACCGTAGCACGATATTGTCCGCTTTGGGCCCCGACCACGCCCTCACGGTTTTGTTTCTGGGAGCTCATCACACGAGAACTTCCCGATGGGTCACCCATCCTGGGAGTGCTCTCGCGCGCTACTTGCTTAACTTCGGAGTTCCCATGGAACCCGAAGCCAGTGAGCTCCCAAAAGGCCTCGTGCTAGGTAGGGATGGGAATACATATAAGGATCACTCCCCTGGGTGATGTGGGATGTCACATAAAATATATATGATTTCATCATAAACTACAAAATAGAATGACATATATATTATGAGCTATTGGAACATAATGAAAACGTGGGGAACAAGCATATAATGTGTGTTCATTTAAGTATTCAACAAGTCTCTTACAATTTATTGAAAAAATAAAAAGCAAAATGAAAGTTGTTGTCTAAGTGAGTAGCAACCTAGGTGGGTGCCTAGGAGGGTCTGGGCAGGCTAGGCGGGTGCCTAGGCGGGTGCCTAGGCGGTCTAGACGGGCACCTCAGTAGGTCTAGGCCCCTTTTCTAAATTTTCAAACGCCTGGGCATTAATTAGGGCGGTGGTCAGCCCCTTAACTCCTAGTCGGGGCCCTAAGCGGGAATTTTTAGAACAATGCTCACACCTCTTGTTAATTTCTATCATTTAATATTCTTCAATTTATTGGATATGACAACTAAGAATTAAGAGAGGTATGTGGGAAGTAAAAAGGGTGTGTAGATAGCACACTTCAAATACAAAAGGAGAAAATGAGATTGTGAAAAGAAAAAAAAATGATATATATATATATATATATATATCATTTTTTTTTCTTTTCTTGGGCGATAAGAAAACATATCAGCTCGAATCGAGAACCTAAATTTTCAATCGAAAAATCACATAGGCCGCAGAATGATATGGGGCGGCGTTTGTGCAACAACAGAGGACAGCAAAAGGGTGTTGGAGTTGTTGGTTTGGGAGAGACCAGGGTGGATGTATACGTCGTTGTTTATGGGAAAACGACTGTCAAATATTGTGTTACAAAACTCAAAAGAGTAGAACATAAGAGTGAAAAAGGTACAATAGAATCGGTTACAAAAATTATTAAATATAAAAATTGATTGGACGAAACAAACAATAGGTCATGTACAAGCAATACCAAAGAGATAAGAAAGTTGAACACATGATCTCATGTGCAAAAGTAACTCAACACTTTAAATTAAAAGAAAATTAATGAAAATGATTTGAAAATTTTGAGTTTTAACGATAAGGACAAAATAAGGGGTAAAATGAATAGTACCATGATTGACTTTTTAGTGTAAAAATATGGTTTTTCATTTAAGTGAACAGTATCAGAAGTTTAAATTTCCCTTAAATTAATTGAACCTCAAACACTTTGCGATTGACTTTTTATTCTAGGTCCATGACCACTTTTTATTTTTTATTTTTTGAAGAAAATTCAATACTAGATTATTGGAAGAACTCATGTCAATACAAAGATTGGGAAAAATTGGAGCCCAAAGGCATTAGGTAGAAATTGAAGGCTTAGACTAGTCAGACTACACATAAAAGTTTTGATTGTCGTACTACAATAGTAACTTACTTTCTAATCTGTGCTAAACTAACACAAAGAATCGAGACTTGGGAACTTAGTCATCAACTATCGAAGTATGTTACTTCCTCCTCCCTCATAACGATTAGAAATGACCACCTTCTTGATATACAAGATGTTTTTATCATTTCTTATAATATACTAGCCAGCTTCTTAGATTAAAGGTATGTATTGATAAAATCTTCTATTTTTTTCTCTTTAAATATTGGCTTGATGTCACATTCCGGTCCGGGGCGGACCACTTCCCGAGCCCGCTCCACCACCGTAGCACGATATTGTCCGCTTTGGGCCCCGACCATGCCCTCACGGTTTTGTTTCTGGGAACTCACACGAGAACTTCCCAGTGGGTCACCCATCATGGGAGTGCTCTCGCGCGCTACTCGCTTAACTTCGGAGTTCCTATGGAACCCGAAGCCAATAAGCTCCCAAAATGCCTCGTGCTAGGTAGAGATGAGAATATACATTTAAGGATCACTCCCCTCGGCGATGTGGGATAAGGGTTAGGGTTTTGGTTGCCAGCCCAAACCCATTACCCTTTTAATTAGGCCATTGGGCCGTGAGGTTTCAAACTCGAACCCATTTTCCTTTTAACCCAAACCCAACCCACCTAAAACCTAACCCAATTACCCTAACCCCAAAACCCTAAAGCCCAAACCCGTGACCCTAACCCGTTTACCCGTGACCCATTGACCGTTGACTGGGTCAACGGTCAGTGTTGACTTTTGACTTTGACCAGTCAACGGGCAACGTTGACTTTAACCGTTGACTTTTTGAGTTTTCGTGCGAGGACCCTCCTAGGCTAATTTCGACATTCTGAACCCGTTTCCGATGTCCGTTTTCTCGAATTCAATCGTTTGAGTAGAGTTTGACTGAAAGTATCAATTGTGTGTTTAGGTGCGATTCTTAGCAGCGATTCCGTTATTCCTATTTGGTACGGCTTGCACCATCGGTGTACGGTGAGTGGACCCCTTCTAAAAATGCATGTTTTGATAGTATAAATGCATACATGAAAAGCATGATTTGATGATTATATTTTATGAACGTTTTACGAGATAACATGCTTACTGAGGCTAGTTTGAATTATTACTATTTTTCCTATAACCCATGTTCTTATAGAATATCTTATGGATGACGATATGATATTTAGAACATGTTTAGAACACTTCTTTATAGTATAGATGATGGATGACTTTATACTATGAAGTTGATTTTCAATATATGTATGTTCACTGGTTTTGTACTTACCTAGTGGTCCTTTCCGCTACGCGACGTAGGGATAGATCCGGTCCGTCCCGGGCGACGGTTTGGGGTTGGCATAGGGCCTGGAATGTGTTTTCCTCTGACTGTCTGCTCAGAGACGGGGAGCCGGCAAGGGGCCTGAAGTGTATTTTTCTCTGACTGTCTGCTTAGAGACAGGGAGCCGGCATGGGGCCTGAAGTGTTATATCGGACATTCACTAGTGTTTATTATTTTATGCGAATCATGATTTGAGGCATTGCACAACATGCTAGGTTTCGGAAAACCTATATTTATCATTATATATGTGTTTTCATAAAACTTGGGGGTTAGTACGTTGATAACTGTTTTATTATTATTGTATATATAAACTTGGTCCACTCACCTTTGTTTTGCGCCCCCTTCAGGACCTAGGAACGAGGATTACGACCTGAGCTACGAGGCGTTCCCCTACCAGTGATTTGTGTTATATTCGCTCCGCTTCGCCATCTATTGTAATAGCACTTCTCTATCTTAGTTCTGCTTGTACTCTGTATTAGACTTATGCTCTGGACGTGCTGTGTGTTTACCTAATTTCAATACTTAGAAGTTGAACTTTTATTTGTGTTTTTAGCCTTTATTGCATACTTTAGTTTATTTCTCAGTTTTTGTTTAAATTAAATGGCTTTCATCACCCTTCGGGCGTCGGCCAGCACGTGACCATCTCGGTGTCCCTAGGACCTCGGGGCCAGGGCGTGTCACTTGAACTATTTTTATTCCAGCCGACGGTTAGACAGATATATTCCACCAACATTTCCAACAGCGCCAGTGGTAATGTGTTATTTTAATTAACTATAATTAAGATGATCATTAGTGGGGTTTAGCCAATAATTAATTCCATATACTGTACCTACAATATAAGTAGGCACAGAAGATGAGCAAATTATTTATACCTAAATCTTATTACGATTTAGAAGATAATTGCGATATAAACAAAGCTGCAATGGCGAGTAACACTGTCGAGAACTCAAAGCAAGTAATGGTGGTTGCTTTGGACAAGAGCGACCACAACACGTACGCGCTCGAATGGACTCTCATCTACTTCTTTATCCCCTATGCATCAAACCCTGTTTTCAAGCTCGTCGTCATCCATGCCAAGCCCCCTCCTCCCGCCATGGCCCTTGTCGGACCTGGTATGTAGATATTCACATCTGTATATTAACTTACTAACTAGTTGGCGCTCGAGCTCTTTTTATATACGCATAAATATTAATTTGGTATAATGCAGCTATATATACTCAACTTATTGAAATGTGTAGGAGGAGCTAAAGTTTTGCCAATTCTGGAGGCAGACTTACAGAAGATAGCCATGCGAGTTGCCGAGAAGGCGAAGAAAATTTGTGCCAGTAAACAGGTAATGATCCTCATGAAACGTACCTACATCTGGGATGTCACAGTGCCGGTTTCTCCAATTCTGCAGGGAAATGCTTATAACGTTCTCCTTGAGGCTAATATTTTTGTTTAATTTGATGTTTATGTAGGTGAATGATGTGGTGGTGGAGTTGGTGGCTGGGGATGCTCGAAACGTTCTCTGTGAGGCTGTAGAAAAACACAAGGCATCCATCTTGGTTTCTGGAAGCCATGGCTATGGAGCTATAAAAAGGTAACTCCATTTTCTTGTTGCTTCTTTTCATGCAACGCAAATTTGCAGTCAGTAACGATCAATCGACTCTGGTTCTCTCTTTCTCTTGCAGGGCCATCCTAGGCAGCGTAAGCGATTATTGCGCTCATCATGCTCACTGCACTGTGATGATTGTGAAGAGGCCGAAAATAAAAAACTAAAATATGCGGCCATTCTCTTCGACTCTTCGAGAACTACAACTTTCATTTTTGAATCACTTGATTTCATTGAATTTTAATAAAGTTATGAACGTTTAAATTTAAGGAACTTTCCGGCGGAATTCCAGCCTTCTTCTTCCTTGGGTCCGGCGACCCATCAAACATAGGCCTTTTGGGCCTTTCTTGCCGAGCCCAACCTAAACCCATTTCTCCCTTTTTGTTTTGTTTTAATTTTAATTGTTTTGGATTAAAGGCATTTGGGCCGTGTCTAAGGCTCGGGCCTTAGGCCCGTCATCTTTTTCAAACCAAGCCTTTAAAGGCTTAAGGCCTTCGGGCCATGTCCTTTTACCTCGGCCTTTGAGGCCGGGCCCTAAAACCAAATCCTTTAAGCCTATTTCCTTAAAAACCTTAAACCCTTCTAAGCCTAAACCTTTAAACCCTAAACGCTTTGTGACCTAAGCCCAATCCCTTTTAAAACCCAAACCCATCAAAACCCAAGCCCAAGTCCAAACCCTTTAACCCAATCTGGATCCAAGCCCAGACCCACTTGACCTGTTAACCTAAATCCGGTCTGACAGTTGACCCGATCAATGGTCAGTGTTGACTTTGACTTTGATCGGTCAACGGTCAACGTCGACTTTGATTGTTGAATTTTTGGGTTTTCGTGCGGGACCCCTCCTAGGCTAATTTCAACTTCCTGAACCCGTTTGCAATTCAACGTCCTGAACCCGTTTGCAATGTCCGTTTTCCCAAAATAAGTTGTTTGAGTAAAGTTTGACTAAATATACCCTTTATGTGCTTAGGGGTAATTTATTGTGGTGTTCTGTCTCCGCTAGTTGCGTGGCTGATCGGCGGCGAAGTACTGTGAGTGGACCCCTTCTAAAAATGCATGTTTTGATAGTAGAAATGCATACATGAAAAGCATGATTTGATGACTATGTTTTATGAAACATTTTATGAGATAACATACTTACTGAGGCTAGTTTGAATTATTACTATTTTTCCTATAACCCGTGTTATTATAGAATATCCGATGGATGACGATATGATATTTAGAACATGTTTAGAACACCTCTTTATAGTATAGATGATGGATGACTTTATACTATGAAGTTGCTTTTCAATATATGTATGTTCACTGGTTTTGTACTTACCTAGTGGTCCTTTTCGCTACGGGACGTAGGGATAAATTTTGGTCCATCCCAGGCGACAGTTTGGTGTTGACATAGGGCCTGGAGTATGTTTCCTCTGGCTATTAGCACAGGGACGGAGAACCAGCATGATGCCTGAAGTGTATTTTCCTCTGACTGTCTGCTTAGAGATGGGGAGCCGGCATGGGGCCTGGGGGTTATCGGACATTCACTAGTGATTATTATATATACAAGTTATGATTTGAGACATTGCACGACATGCTAGGTTTCGGAAAACCTATGTTTATCATGATATATGTGTTTTCATAAAACATGGGGGTTAGTACGTTGATAACTGTTTTATTATATATATATATATATATATATATATATATATATATATCAACTCGGTCCACTTATATTTGTTTTGCGCCCCCTTCAGGACTTAGAATCGAGGCATACAATACCGACGTCAAGGCACTTTCGCATCGGCATCTTCGAGTCTTCTCAGTGTAGGACCCATTCTTTTATTCATTCAATTTTATATTATTTCCTTTAGTGTTTTAGGATTAGTTGTATGCTCTGAACACGTTCCTTAACTGCATATTCATTATTCTTTTATATTTATAAGCCTTATCTACCCCTTGTTTTCAACATTTGCACTCAATAAATGGCTTTCGTCACCCTCGGGTGTCGACCAGCACGTGCCTATCCTGGTATTCAGGGAATATCTGGATCGGGGCGTGTCACTTGTTGCCCTGGTCATGGCTCAAATTCCAAACCCCATAAGCCAAATGCGACCTCATCGGTCTGCAGACCTTCATTTTCTTGCAAATCGAAAATTTGTTGCCCACTCGAACGAAGCCATTCTCGACGGAGACTTGATCCTCTGCCACCTCCATCACCGCTGATTCTAATTGGGAATTATCTTGCTCTTGAACAATCATAGATTATCGAAATAAAGATCATCGAATAGAGACCAAGAACAATCATTTCCAGATGAACCATCCTCCTGAATCGTGCCAATTTGGCACAAGGACACCTCGGTCGGAGGCTTCGCCACTGGAGATACGTCGACCGAACCGGAGTCCAATCTCCGGTAATCCTCGTCGGGACCGAGCTCGCGCTCAAGCCCAAAGTTGGAGTTCTCGAAGAAGACGTCGGAGTGAAGGAGGCCGGTGCAACAGACAGCGAGCTTGTGAAGGGCAGCCTAGCCGCTAGGAGGCTCGGATGAGACGACAAGAAGATTGAAGACTACGGAAGGGATGACCTTGTAGCACTTGGTCTTCCAGCAGACGTTTCGGATCATGGAGGATAACTTGGTGCAGGAGCAGGCGAGCCGAGCCCAGTTCCGCGGGTCCTCCTGGAGCTTGAAGAGGATGTTCAGAAGGACGTCATCGTAGAGCTTCGAGAACAAGGTTCCGGCCATCGGAATTCAAACTTGTCTGAGAAATGATGGTTTAAAATGACGAAATTGACGTTAGTTTTGGGTATTTTGGGGGATTTTGTGAGATGCTTAACGGAATTTCCGTTTGTTGTTTTCGATGAATTGATTTGGGGAGAGAGAGAAGGGGAAGTTTGCGATGAACAGTGTGTGTGTGAGTGGTTGGTTAAAGAGGATGGCTAGAGGGGGCGAGCGAGGTGATTTCCTTTGCCGTTGGAATTTGGTGGCGCTAAAATGACTCTCTGGGGGACTATTTGATTTATATGATTTTGATAAGACGATACTTTGAATTACTTTAAATTGGAATCGTAGTGACTCGAACTTGAGTACAAAGTTTGAGAAAGGCTCGTACATGGCAGTGTAATATTGAATCGAAACGTCATGCGACATGAAATAATTGAACTGAAATAGGTTAGTTCGATTTTGATGTTCCAAAAACCAAACCGGTTTATATTTAATTACTTAAATCATATACAAATACTCAAAATCGGGAGGTCAGAAGTTTCGAACTCCTTACCTCCAAGTTGAGAGTATTTGCTTTAGCCAACTTGACAACAAGCCTTATGTTGCCATAATCGTATTAGTAATATATTTATATTGATTCTGGATCTTTAATTCTTTATAAGATTTTTAAACACAAAACCCTAGCCGTCCCATTTACTCCCATTTCATCTCCTCTTCGTTCTGCTTTCTTAGTTTCTTCCTCTTTTCCTCCAAATCAAACTCTCTATCTCCCTCTTCTCCGGTTCTCCTCGCGAATTTCTTCAAGGACGGTATCGGCCTTGGCAGCATCTTCCACAGCGGCGTTCAGGTTCCTTCTCTTCTCTCTCTGTGTCTTCCTCTTGTGTACTCGCGGTTGCATGTATATGTATGTAATCTGAAAGTGGATGTGTAATTGGTAGTTGGAGTGCTGTGAATTTGGGGGAGATTTAGGGCTTTAATCTGAAAGTAGACATGTAATTGCTAGTTGAAATTAATAATTTTCTTGATTGATTGTAAACCTTTGATTTGAGCTTGATCTGAATGTTGAAAAAGTTTCAATTTTCGCTATGTTAGTTTAGATTTTCGGTATTTGAGTGGAGCTCCTTTAGGCTTTAGGTGTAGAAAGAAAAAATGGGGTTCTTTATATTTCGCATTTGGCCATCTGGGTCAGTTCAAGATATGAAATTTATGGTTGTTTTTTCTGTGATGGGTATATTCTGTGGTTATGTAGATTTAGCTTCACAGATTTGTATATGGTTATATTCTGTTTATGGCTGCGAACCAATTGTGAACTTTGTCTACATGTTCTTGCTTAATTTGTGGAATCAATCGTCAATGGTGTTTAACCAAAGTTTTTTTTGGCATTTGTATAGGAATTTTTTTTGCTATTGAAGAAGAGGAAGATTTTGTTGGGGGGGGGGCGGGGGGCGCTAAAAAACCCCAAGAAAAAATTGAACCAAACCTAGCCCTAATTTTGGGGCTTCTGGTAATCATTCATCATGTTGACATGTTCATCAACGAGCTCGGGATAGGCATGCTTATGTAGGCAGCCCAATAGGTCATGTGTCATTATTTTATAAAATAATAATAAAATAATTTTATTTGTAATTTTGGATAGAATTTTAACCAATCTTGTTACATCACATGTCATTATTCGAAAGTACAATTTTAGTGATAGATTTTGATAAGATTTTTATCCAATTCCGTCGCATCACGTGTCGTTACCTTTTTAGAATTGTTGATGATAGATTTCCGATAAGATTTTTAACCAATCCCGTCACAACACGTGTCATAATCTGTTTAGAATCTTTGAGGATAGATTTTGATAAGATTGTTAACGAATCACGACGTGCCATGTGGCATTATCTCCAACATAATCCTTTCTTTTTTCTCCATATAATCCATCATCCATCCTAAGAAATCACACTCTATCCTTATTCATAGTTTCTGCTTCTTTCTTACAATGTCTTCTTCAAGGATGTTGTGGGAAATCGATGAGTAAGAGAAATAATTGTTTAAGCAAAGGAAAGAAATGTTTAATCTCTAGGTGGCAAAAATGAGACGAAAGAGGAAGAGGATGAAGAGTGTAGAATAAGAGATGATGAAGCAACAAGCCAAAGAGGTTGACGAAAGCCAGAGTAGGCGGTGCTTACCTGCCGCCGAAGAACCAAATGTCAAGGTGGAATATGACATTTCCCTGTCCCACCCCAAACACGTCATCCAATTTTGCATCCACCCAGGACGAACAAAAAGCTAGGAAAATGATGGTTGTTAAACTCTCGGAATTATGGATTGGCTTTCCCATGTCAACATCATCGCCGCCAGTGCAGATCTCGTTTGGAAATCTGGTCAAGCACTATTCAAGGCTATGGAGAATGGTCTGAAAGAAGTTTTGAAGGGTGAAACCTGTTGCTTCAGCCCGTAGACTCAGAAGCACCTTGCTTCCCTGGTTTG